GGACTTGCCCCCTCGCAGGGCTCCTGATTGGCCCTGCGCCTGGGTGCCCCACCCCCTGGGAGAAGGGCGGCCAGGAAGTCCCTTTCCTGGGCTGGTCCCGTCTGAGGCGCACGTGGCTGGGGAACCATGCGGGGAAGCCCCAAGATCCCCGCTGGGAGTGGCCTGCCCATGCCTCCGCTGAGCGGGCCAGCCTTCCCGTAAACTGCGGCCCCGAGAGCAGCCCCTCCAATGCCCAGCCGGCGCCAAGCAGCAGCAGAGCCGGAGACAGAGGGTCAGTGGCGGGGGGAGGGAGGGGGCTCTGAGTTCATGGAGCACTGCCGCGAAGCGGCTGCGGGGCAGGTGGTGCGCCCCCCCGGCTTACTTGTTCCAGTCTCGGCTGGGGCATCGCTTCCTGGGCCGTTCCCGGGCCGCTCCCTGGGCAGCCGAGCCAGCCACATGTCTCCCCGTGCTGGGCGGCAGTCATGGCTGGTGCGGCGGCCAGTGGGAGCATCGCTCCCCGGGAAGCCAAACTGGCCACATGTATCCCCAGCCCGGGCCGGACGGCAGTCAGGCATGAAGCTTGCCTGGCTGCCGCAGGGCTCTCCGCCGCCCGGCCCCACCTCGGCCCCATCGGTGGCGCCTTCCTCGGGCACTTTCAGGGAGCCGCCGCCTCTGCCCTCGTTGCTGCAGGAGGAGACCTTGGGATGCGAGGGTGGCGGGGCTGGCAGCGATCGGGACCCCCCCTCGTCCCCGCGGTGGCACTTCCCGTTGCTGGCGCGGCCGCCCATGGTGCACCCGGCCTTGGCGCCCTCCTCTTAAGACGGCGAAGTGGCTGAGGATGCGGCGGGGGCAGCGGCCGGGGCAGGGGCGGCGACCCCGACGATGCTGCAGTGGCTGCCGCTGGAGCCGCTGCCTCCCGTCCTGCTCCCCCTCCCTGCCCGTTCGGCTGAGGACGCAATGGGGCCGCTGCCACTGGAGCCGCTGCCTCCCGTTCTGCTCCCCCTCCCTGCCCATTCGGCTGAAGAAGCGATGGGGGGGGCGGCTGGGAGCTGCTGCCTCCCGTCCTGCTCCCCCTCCATGCCCGTTCAGCTGAAGAAGCGATGGGGGGGTGGCGGGGAGCTGCTGCCTCCCGTTCTGCTCCCCCTCCCTGCCCGTTTGGCTGAAGAAGCGATGGGGGGGCGGCCGGGAGCTGCTGCCTCCCATCCTGCTCTCCCCGCCCGTTCGGCGCCATCTGCCTTTCATTCTCTCTCTCTCTCTCTCTCTAACCTGGAGGGAGAGGGAGAGAGAGAAAGAGGAAAGAAAGAGAAGAAAAAGAGAGGAGAGAGGGAAAGAGAAAAAGTGGAAAGAGAAAGAGGAAAGAGAAAGGGGAAAGAGAGAAAGAGAGAGAGAAAGTTAGAGGAAAGAGAGGAAGAGAAGAGAAAGAGGGAAAAAAAGAAAAAGAGGAAAGAGAGAAAAAGAAAAAGAGGAAAGAGAGAAAGAGAAGAGAAATAGAGGAAAGAGAGAAAGAGGAAAGAGAAAGAGAGGAAAGAGGGAAAGAGAAAGAGAGAAAGAGGAAAGAAAGAGAAAAAGAAAGGAAAGAGAGAAAGAGGAAAGAGAGGAAAGAGAAAGAGAAGAAAAGAGGAAAGAAAGAGGAGAAAGAGAGAGGAAAGAGAGAAAGTTAGAGGAAAGAGAAAGAGAAGAGAGAGGAAAGAAAGGAAAGAGAGAGGAAAGGAAGAGAAAGAAAGAGAGAGGAAAGAGGGAAAGAGAAAGGAAAGAGAGAGAGAGAGAGAGGAAAGAGAAAGAGAAAGAGGAAAGAGAGGAAAGAAAGAAAAAGAGAGGAAAGAGAAAAGAAAGAGAAAAAAAGCAAGAGGGAGAGGAAAGAAAAAGAGGAAAGAGAAAAAAGATTGAGAAAGAGAGAAAGGAAAGAGAAAGAGAGGAAAGAGAGAAAGGAAAGAGAAAGGAAAGAGAAAGAGAAGAGAGGAAAGGGAGAGGAAAGAAAGAGAAGAGAAAGAGGAAAGAGAGAGAAAGAGGAAAGAGAGAGAAAAGAGAGAGAGGAAAGAGAAAGAGAAAGAGGAAAGAAAGAGAAAGAGGGAGAGGAAAGAGAAAAAGAGGAAAGAGAGAAAGGAAAGAGAGACCCTTTTGACATCTAAAATGAAGATAACACTGCATATATCCTTTTTTACCTTTATTTTATATATACACACACAAACATACACACACACACACACACATACCTATAATAAAGGTAAAAAAAGGATACATGCAGTGTTATCTTCATTTTAGATATCAAAAGGGTTTTGCGGCTCCCAGTGTTTTAGAAAGAAAGAGGAAAGAAAGGAAAGAGAAAGAGGAAAGAGAGAGACAGAAAGAGAGGAAAGAGAGAGAGAAAGTTAGAGGAAAGAGAGAAAGAGGAAAGAGAAAGAAGAGAAAGAGAGAGAGAGGAAAGAGAGACCCTTTTGACATCTAAAATGAAGATAACACTGCATATATCCTTTTTTACCTTTATTTTATATATACACACACAAACATACACACACACACACACATACCTATAATAAAGGTAAAAAAAGGATATATGCAGTGTTATGTTCATTTTAGATATCAAAAGGGTTTTGCGGCTCCCAGTGTTTTGTTTTTGGTGGGAAACGTGTCCAAGTGGCTCTTTGAGTGCTTTGGGTTGCCTACCCCTGGTCTTGTCTATGCTGCCTGGCTGCCATGTCCTTGGCTGCCCTGCTCTGCGTGGGCCACGCTCGGGGGCGACTCTGCTCCAGGGAGACTGCTGGAGAGGAGGGGGTCATGAGGGGAGGCAAGGCTGGGGCAACGACACGTGTGCCCACAGAGAGGGCTCCGAGTGCCGCCGCCTGGCACCTGTGCCATAAGTTCACCACCACTGGTCCATACATTTGTTAATATGATTTGAGAAGAGTAATAAGTTTTTATAAGTCAATGTTATCTGGAATTACAAAGTGAAAATTACAGGAACTGAGCATGGCTAGTCTAGTGAAGAGAAAGACCAGGAGAGAAATGATAGCAGTGTTCCAATATTTGAGGTGCTGTCACAGAGAAGAGGGGATTAACCTATTTCCCAGGCCAGACAAGGAATAACGGATGGAAACTGATCAAGGAGAGATTCAGCCTAGAAATAAGAAATTTTCTGAGAGTGAGAACAATCAACCAGTGGAACAGATTGCCTTCAGAAGTTGTGAGAGCTTTATCACTGGAAGCTTTCAAGAAGAGACTGGACTGCCATCTGTCAGAAATGGTATGCTTGGGCAGGGAGTTGGACTAGATGACCTACAAGGTCCCTTCCAACTGTTATTCTACTCTACTCTGTTCTAAAGGAATAGGAATAGTAGAATAAATAAATGAGACAGCCGTTATCTCTCTGGAGAATGGGAGGACTTTCAATTACNGCCTGGAGTCTCATCGGGATCCGCGTCCCCGCAAGGCTTCCCGGCAACCTCTGCGCCTCCCCCTCAAAGCCCGCCCCCGCCTCACAGATGGGGAAAGGGGAGGAACAGAAAGAGCAGCCTCTTCCGCCGAACGTATCTTGCGCCAGCGGGAGAGCCCCGCGCACGCTCAGTTCCCTTCTGAGGCTGAGAGCACACACACCCCCTGGTGGATTCCGCGCGAAGTGCCAGGATTTCCCGAAAGGGCGGGAAAGAGAAAGAGCGTTTGAGGGCAAGGGGATGTCAAGAGATGATGGGTTTGGGAGTAGGAGAAAGGGCCCTCTTGCGCTCGCTGTCGAAAAAGAAATACCGAAAGAAAACCAGTCTCCAAACGCAGAAACAGCTAAACTGGGGTGAATGATCCTGAAATTTTACCTCACGAGGCTGCTCGGTGGAAAAAGAGAAAGAGCGGGCAAATGGCGCCTCTTCTGTGACTGGAGAAAAAGTGGAATTGCAAAACGGAGGAAAGAAAATAGTGAAAAAGGAATACGAATCTGAAACATGAGACGGGAAATAAAACATTTTTATACGGGGAGGGAGTTGAGAATTCAACTCAGGAAATCGGACTAGGAAGTCAAGACCTTTGGAGAATGGAAGGCAAGGGGGAATCTCATTAGATCATGAATAAAGAAAGAAAAAGGAAATGAAAACGTGAAATAAGAGATAAAGACTCCATTGGGATGAAAAGGTTCGGCCACATTTGGAGTCAACAATGACACAAAAGGAGATTTGCTACACTAAAGTGAAACAGAATTTAAATGGAGGGAAAGTGGTTACAAATCGATTTTAAAAGAATGGAATTAACCAGTTCTTTTTCTTCTATGTCTGTCTGTCTGTCTGTCTATCTTTATCTATCTATCTATCTATCTATCTATCTATCTATCTATCTATCTATCTATCTATCTATCTATCTATCTATCTCTTTATTCTCGTTTGACCCAGAACCTTGAATGAGCAACTTCAAAAAGCAGCCTTAACCCAGGAATCTCTCAAACCCTATTTGTCCCCCACCCAAAGACCTCCAAATATTTTTATATATTTGTAATTTTTAATGCAACCAGAGAGGATTGAATACATGCCTTGAAAAGAACCACACCATTATTTGATTGTACTGAACTCAAAATTTTATTTTGTCCTAGCCCTTAGCACACCATAGAAGGGGAAAATATAGCCCTAATGCTTTAAAAATCTTTTGCTCGTGCATTTCAGGGGGTTTTGGTCATTCTGCCTCCCTTTGTGAGAGAGGAAACTTTCATCCTGAAGCTCTTTCCATACTTTTTAAGAATTTCTGCTGGGTTAGAAACCTATATGAGTCGCACACTCAGACAATGCAAAGCTACCAGTAATTTACCAGGCCTTTTCTCTCCCCCCCCCCCCCCCGATTCAATTTAATTTAATTAATTGGCCCTGTACAGCTCAAGATGGATAGGGAAATTACAGAAACAAATATTGTGGGTCAGAGTTTCAGAAAATACTTTCATCTTTTCGTATTCATCTCCCTGCTCCATTTTCAAATGTCCCCAAAGTACCATTCCGGCACACAATTAATAGGTTTCTCCTCCCAAATGGTCTGCAGCCGTTTGAGCCATGAAGTCAACATGTTGTCTTTTCTGTCACATACTCAGGGGCAAAGCAGATCTGAGGGGAAAGGACACTGAAACCACAGAAGTGTAAGATGCCATGCTGCATGGGCCAGAGAAGGTAACAAATATTATCATTGGGTCCTCTCCTTGAATACATTTCTTCGTCTCCTCCAGTGGTAAATGAAAGTAAAGCTAATTTATTCTTGATTAAGCCAGAATCATAACACTTTGGGAAATCATGAGGAAATCCTTGGACTAAGACTCTTTCCATCCAGCCCTTCAGGATGGCTGGCATGCTGAACCAATATAAAGGAAACTGGGAAATCACCAAGTCGGCTTTGTTCACTTTCTTTTGCTCCTCAATCAAATCTTCAGTCAGATATCCATTTTTATAAGCTTTCCAGGCCTCAATTCCATAATTAAAATGATCAGGATTGTATAATTCACCAACTATATCTTTCTTAGTTGTTCTTGGCTCAAATTGCATTTCATACAAGTCTGAACCAGTGACAATACAGCCTTGCTTCTTCAGTTCTTCCATTGTTAAGGTTTTAAATGAACCATTTAGAGATTTGGGCTCTTGGTGTGCATAGACAATTAATACTTCTTTCCCTGCCATTTTTTTCAACACTCTGCAAGTTTGTTGCAGTTGAGAAAACGTGGTTTCAAAAGGTTCTTGTCAAGACTGAAAACAGCACAGTAACCTGTCGGAAAGTATAGGACAGTGGTGGCGAACCTATGGCACGGGTGCCAGAGGCGGCACTCAGAGCCCTCTCTGTGGGCACGCGCGCCGTCGCCCCAGTCCTAGGCCTTCAGCTGGATTTTAAAAAACCTTTTCACTTTAGGCCTCCGCCGCCGTATACAAAAAAAAAGGTTCAATCAATCCGTCAATTTCAACTTCTTGCGGGGAAAAAAAAGATCTTGCAAAGTTGGAATTGATTGATTGAACTTTTTAGTCCCACCCAGTCTGCTGTTACCACTGCAGCCACGCCCACCCAATGGGCCACACCCACCCAATGGGCCACACCCACCTGGCACCTGAGTATGCATAAGTGGGTTTTGGGTTGCAGTTTGGGCACTCAGTCTCTAAAAGGTTCGCCATCACTGGTATAGGATCAGATCACCTAAGCCAGCCAAGCAAAACAGGATCGATCCCTCCAGGCCTTTTCTCAGCATCTCTAACTGCTGCTTAAGCTATCTACCAGATCACTTTCCTTGATTTCAGCAAGGCCTATGTTTGTGAGGTTGCTTAGACCAGCGGTTCTCAACCTGTGGGTCGCGACCCCATTTGGGGTCGCACGACCATTTCACAGGGGTCGCCAAACAACGCCGTCCGCCATTTTTTTTTTACCCTTTTCCTTAGCTGTGCTACTTCCTCTGCTTGGCGGCAGCCTGCATGCAGGAACTTTACCAAACATGCCCTGCAGGAGGCGTGTGAAGAGCGCAGGCGCAGA